TACTATACCATACCATACCACACCATACTATACAACACCACACCAAACTATACCATACCATTATACCATACCACACCATACCTACTATACCATACCATACCACACCACACCATACTATACAACACCACACCAAACTATACCATACCATTATACCATACCACACCATACCACACCAAACTATACCATACCACACCATACTATACGACACCACACCAAACTATACCATACCATTATACCATACCTACCACACCAAACTATACCATACCCCACCATACTATATGACACCACACCAAACTATACCATACCATTATATCATACCACACCATACCTACTATACCATACCATACCACACCATACTATACAACACCACACCAAACTATACCATACCATTATACCATACCACACCATACCTACTATACCATACCATACCACACCACACCATACTATACAACACCACACCAAACTATACCATACCATTATACCATACCACACCATACCACACCAAACTATACCATACCACACCATACTATACGACACCACACCAAACTATACCATACCATTATACCATACCACACCATACCTACCACATCAAACTATACCATACCACACCATACTATACCACATCATACCATACCATAAAATATCATATTTTATACCATATCATACTGTACCACACTATACCATCACCAATCTTCACATTTATTCTCAGACTGTTTACGAAGACTACACTCGATCCTCTGCACAACAAGCAACCATGGCCAGTTAAGTCATCTCACCAGAGTATTTCGAGCTGATGGAAAATTATGGAAAGGTACTGTAGATATAGTTTTTCTGGACCTCTGGAGAACAGTTCGGAACTGATAGAATTATCCAGTATAAATAAAGTTAGTTTAGTTTAGGTTTCCTCCTGTAGTAACACTGGATCAATAAGAGATGATTCTTACTGCACCTCTAGGAAAAACAGTTTAGAACTGATAGAGTTATCCAGTATAAATAAAGTTAGTTTTGTTTAGGTTTCCTCCTGTAGTAACACTGGATCAATAAGAGATGATTCTTACTGCACCTCTAGGAAAAACAGTTTAGAACTGATGGAGTTATCCAGTATAAATAAAGTTAGTTTAGTTTAGGTTTCTTCCTGTAGTAACACTAGATCAATAAGAGATGATTCTTACTGCACCTCTAGGAAAAACAGTTTAGAACTGATAGAGTTATCCAGTATAAATAAAGTTAGTTTTGTTTAGGTTTTCTCCTGTAGTAACATTGGATCAATAAGAGATGATCCTTACTGGATCTCTAGGAAGAACAGTTTAGAACTGATAGAGCTATCCAGTATAAATAAAGTTAGTTTAGTTTAGGTTTCCTCCTGTGGTAACACTGGATCAATAAGAGATGATCCTTACTGGATCTCTAGGAAGAACAGTTTAGAACTGATAGAGCTATCCAGTATAAATAAAGTTAGTTTAGTTTAGGTTTTCTCCTGTAGTAACATTGGATCAATAAGAGATGATCCTTACTGGATCTCTAGGAAGAACAGTTTAGAACTGATAGAGCTATCCAGTATAAATAAAGTTAGTTTAGTTTAGGTTTCCTCCTGTGGTAGCACTGGATCAATAAGAGATGATCCTTACTGGATCTCTAGGAAGAACAGTTTAGAACTGATAAAGCTATCTAGTATAAAGAAAAATTAGTTTAGTTTAGGTTTCCTCCTGTAGTAACACTGGATCAATAAGAGATGATCCTTACTGGACCTCTAGGAAGAACTGTTTAGAACTGATAAAGCTATCCAGTATAAATAAAGTTAGCGGAAGTTAGTAAATTTAACTGCTTTAACAATTATGCATTTTTTAATTTCAGTGGCAAGACTTCACAATCATCAGTTGTTTATGAATACGTATGTTGCATTTATGAAATAAACAATTATATTTGTTGCTCTGCAAACTTACAAAAAATGTTGTTTTATAGGTTGCTAAAAGATTCATTTGGAAAAGTAACACTCGCCATTGAGTTAACGAAGGTAAACGTAAAATTATTTTTTTAGTTTTTGCTATTGACTAATATCTAATGTACTTAATGTTACAAATAATATTTCTGCAGAATTATTCAATTATCATGAACGACTATTATGATGATGATCAAGATCACTCCATA